TTGTACAATTAACTGTTTAATCTTTTATTGGAAAAACAAGGTGTTACGTACTGAAGGATTGAAAGTTCTGAAAAGTATGAAAATATGTGAACGGGTTGAATCCTAGCTGCACTAATAACCCTTCTTCCCAAAAAACTTAAGGCTAGAAGGAAACTCGCTAACAATATTTTGGGCATAGTAAATGTGAACACAACGAACTATACAGTCACTTATATTAGGGGGGGGCAAGGGGGGGGGGGGTCTCGTCTCGAAATCACGAAGATTATTTTTCGATTTCACGAGTCACGAAAAACAAAATTTCATTTTCACGATTTTTAGAAACGCAGAAGCGTAACAAAGTCTGACTTTGAAACCATTTAACGCGGATTTTCTAGACAGCAGAACTCGCTGACTTTAACATTAGAGCCGTTTAAACGACTATGAAAATCATTGCGAGGCATTACAAAACATTACGAGACACGAAGCAACCTCAAGAAACGAAGAAACTTCAAGAAAGACAACCGCGGGAAGCACATTTATTTATTTCCCATCCCCCCCCCCATAATATTAAATTTGGGCCGAATTTTAAACGTAAACATTCACAAGTTACGGTTTGATATTGGTAAATTCAAGAACCTAGCTAGCCTTTTAGCTCTTCACGATTCACGGCGCGCATATTAATCACGATTCACGGAATGGTATTTCTTCAAATCACGAATCACAAAACACGAATAATAGCTAATCACGAGTCACGAAAATACCCTTGCCCCCCCCTCTATATTGTTCTATCTATTAATACGCATATCATCATCACATAGCTGTAAGTATGGTATATAAGGCACTGTTATGCTTGTAATTTCCTGAAGATGCTTAAAATATTGTCGAATAAAACGTAGAAAAATAAAGATCTTTCATTTCTTGAAATTATTGCATTACGTAAATTTTCCGTGTTATTGTGTGTTCAGTATTGGGTATGTATATATTTAACTTTCCCATCCCAATAAAGACTACGCCTTTAACTATCGAATGAGATACTTTTTGTATCATTGCGTCATAAAAACTGAACTAACACGACCGACTTAAAATGGCTGATTTTTCTGCCGTTCCACCAGTGGCGTAACGTTATATCAGGGGGCCCCCGGTTCAAAATTTTCGAAGGCCCCCCTAGTAGAAGTGCCAAATGCACAAGTCGAGCACCGTATATGTACGAGTTTTCTAGGGGTCCACGGCTCACCCGGAAAATTTTTGAATCTAGACTCTCTGAAATGCCATTTCCCGGACTTTGGGGAGAGATTTTTCAGAATTCGACATTGTAACATATCAGAGGCCCTGGCCAATGCTCTTGCTCTACAAGCTGAGCCTGGGGGCCTCCATTTTGGTTGGGGGCCCCCGGGTTCTCCCGGTCTGAGCCCATAGTAGTTACGCCACTGCGTTCCATAATAATTGCAAACGCGCGTATGTTTGAGTGTTGAACTTATTCTCTGAAAGAAAAGTCAAAATTCAAAAGAATAATTATAAGTAATAACATGACCAGAGGGAAATTAGCAATTAAATTTCCCTTCGCCTCGGGAAGATTTTCACAAATCTTCCCGAGGCGAAGGGAAATTTAATCGCTAATTTCCCGACTAGTCATGTTATTAGTTTGTAATATTATGAAAGCCGAGGAAAACTCAAAATAGTTTGCTGCAGAGATAAGTTTAGCTGTTTGACTTTGTATTTTTCAATGAAGTTGTTTATGAGTTTGACTATTGATTGAAATGATTTAACTCGCGATTAGACAACGAAATTTTGTGGATAAGACATTTTACGAAACCTGAAGATTCCAGAGAACTTGCAATGCCTTTATAATGTTTTTCTTATATACAGCGACCTCCATTTTGGCAAATGTTTGAAAATTCTGAGAATATTTTGCGGCAACAGAGATAGAAAAATTTGTTATCGACCGCTAATTTCAAGTCGTTCCTATTTGGCCATTTTTGTTCGCAATGAGATACCATCAAATGATCTCGGAAAATATATTTGAGTGTTTCACACTCTTGAAATTTTCAAAATAAATAAACACATTTTAGAGAGAATCTAAAATCCAGAAAACTTCTCACTTTTGACTAAAATATACATGTGTATGAAACTATTTTAAAATATTCATTTCTCCTCACAACGGCTTCTCGTTCGTGGCATATCATGTATAAGTTGGTGACAGGTGACGAAGACTAAAATTACGAAATTAAGTCAACAGTCGAACATGTACCAGGTGGCGCAAAAAAAAGTTAACCTGTTTGATTTGTTTTAACTTAAAAGCTAAAAGAGCTATTACATGTAAACTACGTGCATTGTATTCAGTATTGTCTAACTTATATTTTTATATACGCCCTGTGCATTTTCGTGCAATATTGACCGAGAGAGCTGCGAAACTTGAGTAAACATTTTTGATAGTGTCTATCAAATATTTAATACAGCAATAACCTGTGCTTAGACGTACTATAGTCAGAAAGTACACGTTCGTTGTCAGAGACCTGCCCAACGCCGCCGGTATAACCTCACGAGCATTATTTAACCTTACCTATTCTAAACATATCAAAACTCTTTGGTCATTCGTTAAACGAGGCGTATTTATAAAAAAAAAACACTTGACGTTTCTTTCTTGGACCATTAGAACTTGATTCCCCAGGGTCACTGGATATTTAGAATAAATCTTTTAATCAAAATCGCTTCATAAATTAATTTTCATGCATTCCCAAAGACCTTAAACAAAAACAAAAGAGCACCTCCATCCCATAAACATTTTTAATTTAAACTTCACTTCATTGAGACGAATATTTACGATAAAATGCTAAGGGTTATCTAATTCTCGACACTTCCCTTTTAGCTAGTTCTCAACACTTCCCAAAATGTTTATTCAAGTTTAAATGCAGCTCTCTCGGTGAATATTGCACGAAATTGCACAGGGCGTATATCAAAATTTAAGTAAGACAATACTGAAAGCAATGCACGTAGTTTAGGTGTAATAGCTCTTTTAGTTTTTAAGTTAAAATAAATCAAACAGGTTAACTTTTTTTTGCGCCACCCGGTAAATATCGATCATCTGCTCGCCATCACGGAGCATTGCTATTTGTCGAAACATTTATTTAAAAAGTAGTATATTGTGTAATTACTTTGTTATTGTGAGTTGGTTTAGAACTACATAGAGACATATAGTTTTTAATGTAAGCGAGCTTGTACTTCTTCTTATTTCGTAATTCATGACTCGACGAAACGTGCTTTTTCACTTGGGCCACTTGTACTTTCAAAACAAACTTTCATTTACATGTCTCACCATCGCACCTGTTCTCAAGTTGTTTTCGAAAAGGCAAAACTGCAATTGACCATTTGCGTAATAGACTAAATTTTAATCTCAAGAAAAATTTCATTACGGCTTGAAAAAGCATCACAAAATTAGTAATATTCCAAAGCTTCGTTGCAAAATGTTGTAAAATGCGGAAAATATAGCCTTGCGAAGTTTGCAATTTTCAGTCATTTTAGATTACAAACCGGAAATTGACAGCCTCGAAGGGTTTGAGGCTGTCAATTTCCCGTTTGTAATCTAAAATGACTGAAAATTGCAAATTTCGCAATGCTATATTTTCCGCATTTTACAACATTTTGCAACGAAACTTTGGAATATTACTAATTTTGTGATGCTCCTTCAAGCTGTGATGAAATTTTTGTCTAGACTTGTTTAGTTCAAAATTTAGTCTATTACGCAAATGGTCAATTGCAAAATAATAATATATGTTGAACGAGAATTTAAAAATTAAATGAGACTTACCTTAAGTCGAAAATTGATTGTAATTCTATGAGTCTTTGGACAAGGAAACTAAGGAGTCATGTGAGATATGCGCACGCAGATCGAGTGTTCAGTCTTTAACGCAGCGAGTGATTTCAACAGTAAGTTACTGGGTGGGAAAAAGGAAAGCCTGTTTTCCCCTACAAACATTGAATGAACTTTGGGTGGGTGACTCCTTAGTTTCCTTGTCCAAAGACTCATAGAATTACAATCAAATTTCGACTTAAGGTAAGTCTCATTTAATTTTTAAATTCTATTTCGTCATTGGACTACGTCACTAAGGAGTCATGTGAGATATTCAAAGTGTTGGAATCAGGAGCTTCAACACAAAGTTAACAACCCAACCAAAAACTATATTGGAATAGAACGTTTTACAATGTTCAATCTTTTGCATTACTTAATGCAGCATCTAAAATTGTTTGACCAAAATTAGTCTGGGTTTGTAACGGTTTGTTATAAAACTTATTGAATGTTGTGGCATTAGACCATCCTGCTGCTTCCAAAATCGTTGCAATAGCCATGTTTGATCTTTTGGCTGCAGAAGATGCAGCCGCTCTAGTACTATGTCCTGTAAAGTTATCAATTCCTGATAACTTTAAGACTAGTTTGAGCCAACGTGATATAGTGTCCGTTGTCACTCCTTTATGTGGCTTTTGATAACTGATTAATAGTTGCTTACACAATCCTCTAATATTTGTGGTCCTTGTTATGTATTCTCGTAGGACGTTCAGGGGACAAAGGTGTGCATTTGGGGTGAATGATTTCACAACCAACGGACTAAGATGTTTGCCTGGCCGGGATGTCTTCAACAAATCACTGAAATAAAAGGTGCATTGGCTGTCCGTGATTTTCATATGGTCAATAGATAGAGCCTGCAATGTTTGGCATCTTTGTGTCGATATCAGTGCTAACAGCATTGTGAGTTTAAGTGTTAAATCCTTCAATGGTATGTCTTTAGGTGGATGCAACGTTTTCAAGAAGTCAAGGACTGTATTAACATCCCAAATTTCCTGGTATCTCGGTAAAGATGGTCTAGTTTCAAATACACCCTTGATAAAGCGGCAGACCAAAGGGTGACTTCCAAATGACCCATTATTTGTTGACACAATGATAGATGATAGAGCACTTCTAGCAGTATTTAATCCACTATATCCTGTCCCTTGGTCGTACAATTCCCCCAGAAAATTAATTCCATCTTCTAGAGCTGGATAAAAGGGATCGATTTTCCGTTCACTACAGTATAGTTCCCATTTGGATAAATAGCATTCATACTGCTTACGCGTACCTGATCGCCATGATGCATCCATGACGTTTGTAACTGTTTGCGAAAAACCTCTGTTCTCAAGTTGTTTCCTGATAAGTGACACAGCAACAGGGACATTTTGTGATGGAGAGGGTGCTTTTCTGTTGGTTTGCTGGGTAGAAATAATGTGAATTCCTGCATTGGGAGCAGCACTGGTTTCTGAACAAGCATTTTCATAGCAACTGGCCACCATGTCTGTGTGGGCCACTTTGGCACAAGAATAAGTCCTTCGCATTGTTCCTTCTGAATTTTCTGGAGAACCCGACTGATTATACTAAATGGGGGAAAAGCATAGAACTTGTAATCACTCCATGTTTGGTGGAATGCATTTACTGCTAATGCTTCTGGATCAGGATGATATGAAAAGAATGGCTTCACCTGATAGTTTATCCGAGAAGCAAAAAGATCAATATTGGGCATAAAGTGTAGTTTTTCACATGCTTTGTGAAACAATTTTTTGTCAAGGCACCATTCTGTATTTCGCCTACACTTTCTGGATTCATAGTCAGCCTCAATATTTTCTTTCCCTGGTATACGGGCAACTGTGAGCCAAATATGGTGTATGATACACCAGTCCCATATGGACTTAACAAGAGCATTTAATTTGGGAGAATGACTAGTTCCCATCTTATTCAGTGTAACCTGAACTGTGGTATTATCAACAAGCACTTTTACATGCTTGTCAGATACCAACTGCTTGTATGCTTTAAGGCCAAACAACACAGCTAGCATTTCAAGATAATTTATATGGTCTTCTTGCTCTTCCACTGTCCAAAGCCCCCCAGTTGCTAGATCATTTACTGCACACCCCCAACCTTGTTTGGATGCATCAGTTCGAATTGTAATATCTGGCTCAGGCCGATACACTACATTAACTGCTGTATCTATGGAGTCAACCCACCACTGAAGCTCATTTCTAGCCAGTGATGTCAAACACATGTGTGCTTCAAAATTCCCAGCATTCAGTTTGAGGGCTTCTGATTTTTCATGCTCAGTGAGGCGGAAATGCAAAGGCCCATACATGACCCCAGGAAAACTAGATATAATGAGTCCCACAACTTGTGCCACCTCACGAATACAAGGCCTTTGACGTAGGAGAAGGTGGTTGACTGCAGCTTTTAACTTTCTAGCCTTCTCGGGAGTTAGGGAGACTGTCATAGTGATTGAGTTCAATAAAAACCCTAGAAACACTAGAATTTGTGTGGGTATAAAAACAGATTTTTTCGGGTGTGGTACAAACCCGAGATTATCAAGCAGTCTTATTGTATTTATCACATTATCTGCGCATTCATCATAATTATCCCCAATGAGGATGGAGTCATCAATATATGGGGATGACACATGACCTTGTTGTCGTAGTGATGAATACACTGGTTTTAGTAACTTTGTGAATTTTCTGGGGCAGGATGCTAACCCATTAGGCAGGCATGTGAATTTGTAAAGAGTCCCCTTACATACAAATTTTAAGTATTTTTGATGTTGGTATGATACTCTCACTGAGTAATAAGCATCTTTTAAGTCAACTGATGCCATAAAACATTTTGGCTTCATTAAACTTATGGCTGTCCAAATGGAGTCCATTTTAAAATGCCTATACAGTACATGTGTGTTTAGGCTTTTCAGGTTCAGTATTAACCTGTGTGACCCATCTGGTTTAGGGCGGACAAAAATTGGTGAAATGAATTCATCAGGCTCATGCCTAGATTCAACAATAACCCCTTTAGCCAATAATTTTTGAATTTCTTGTGAAATAATACCTTGTTCCTTTTCAGATAACTGGGTAACTATACATCGGTTTTGTTGTGGCTGGGAAATGAATTCAATTTTTTCCCCATTGACTGTTATTAACACTTCTGAGTCAGAAGTAATTTTTCGCCACTCACTCAGTTTAGTTGACAGCTGGCCTGCTTTAAAGCTGTCTGTTTTCATATTAAAATAATTTACAACAGCAGGCAATAGCGTAGCTAGGTTGCTTACCTGTAAACGTTGTAAAACCGATGTATTCACTGGCACTAAAACCTTGTCTGCGAGTTTTTCCTGGGTAGAAAGGGTGGCTTCGGTGGGTGTTGCTTCCACTGGCGTCCCTTGGATAAAAAAGGGTTTCCCTTTCTCTGCCTGTTGTCTGAGCCAGTATTGTTGTTTAGGTTTGACCCTCCGATTGAAAAACGGCCTCGAGATTTGGCTTGGCCAAATCTTTCTTGAACAGTGGTTTTACTGATTTTGTTGGAGGCCCGGATGTCGTTTAATCTCGTTTGAAGATTATCCCCAAACAAAAAACTCGTTACAGGCACCTGCGAGGCACACAAACTGCCATAATCTTTGTGCAGGTTTGGTTTAATGGCGTCGCGTCGCCGCATTGACAGCTCACACATCGTGTGGCCCAACAATGCCAAAACATCGGTATTCATTTTCACCAGCGTGTCAACTTCCAGGAGGCTTTTATGCCTCATCTGCACAAGCTTATCTGTTGACACTGCCAGAATCGATCCAACTTTTGCTATAGATTTTTGTATTGCTGAAGCGCGAAGGTCATGGTGCTTTGCCTTTTGGTCGAGCTTGTCCCAAATCTCAGCGTTTACACGTGGAGCGATAAGCTTTTCACAGTTGGCTGGTCGGGGATACTTTTCCATTTTTTCTTTTATTTTCGCTTCGTTAAGCTTCGTTGACCAACGAGTATTGACAATATCAGCAAGTTGCTGATTTATTTTCGGACCTACGTCCTCTTCTTTGTCAAAATCTTCCGAAATTTCGCTTAAGAGAGCGTCATGCTCGAGTCGAGCACATGGGACGCCTGATTCACCCTCTGTGGCCGAGTCGGCCGGGGGTTCTGTTTCTCGAAGTAAATTCTCGCCATCACTATCATCGCTGTCGGCTTCATTCTCCTGTTCGTTCCTTCTTTTACGCTTTTTTGCTGGTTGCTCCTCTGAGTCAGAGGTTTCAACCTGTGTGGAATTCATACGTTTTATCGATTGCTCCATGTTTAACATGGATGAAGACATGCTTGTTATAGCCTTGCTTAAATCTGTCAGAACTTTCGGCACTGCTTTCAAATCTACACTCATCGGTTCGTCGTCTACCTCCGCTAGCAAGTCATTTTCTTCGTGGTCGGACGGCATAATTCCTTCCTCAATTTCTCGATTTTTCGCTGCCATTTTCAAAAAACACAACCGTTCACTCGTGAAACTACGCGGGCAACTGAACACTCGATCTGCGTGCGCATATCTCACATGACTCCTTAGTGACGTAGTCCAAT